AGGAGGCCCTGCAGCTTCTGTACAGAGAGAGGAGAAATTGAGCAAATAGAGAAATAGCACTGGGGAAACTAAGCAGATGCTATTAATATAACTTTATGGGAATTTGGATGTTGTGTAAAAAAAAACAACCCCTTTTCTTCTGAGTGACATGTTGCACCTATTCAAAAGCCCCTCTCCCAATTTCTATTTTGTAAAAAGAGATCACTTATGCCCTCCCTTGCTCCCCATTTTGTACTCAGTCAACCCTAAGTAAAGGCGCTGAGGGAAAGATAACATTTGTTGGGCTGCCTCAGAAAGCTAATTTGTTTCAGACTAAAAGGTAGGATGGGAGTATTTTTAAGACATTTTCACTTCCACTGAGTCAGACTATTGAGCTCAGCATTGTCTACACTGACTAATAGCAGATTTCCAGAGCTTCAGACAGGAACTTTTCCCAGCTTTACCTGGAAATGCCAGTGTTTCAGTCCCAGGGCACGTTTCCAAGATCTTTTCACTATAGATCACTGAGCCTCTCACCTCATCTTTATTACCCTGATCGGGACTATTGGTGAGCAAGAATGGAGCTATTTCCCCCACATTCTCTGTGCAATTTGCTTAATAGGCTGTGGTGATTTCATTGTGGCATATGCCTTTAGGGTGCTTTCATTGTGTGACCTGGGTCCAGCTGACCTGCATTACACAACTGTGGCCTGATCTGCAATGCAGCATATCAGACACTAGTTTTCTTGAAGAATTCTGGCTGATCTGTTTTATTTCCACATCAGCTGAGGTAATAACGTTACTGGCTGTTAGCTGACCTGGAAATAGCGCAAGCAATGTGGATCTCAGTCAAGAAGGAAAACTTGGCCCACGGACCTCCATATATATATATATAAAATCTCTGCTACAAAACACAGCCCAAGTATCACCCGCTTCACATGCAGCCTTGCTATAAGGGGGACAAATAGTTATTTTTCTTGCACATGGATATATAGGCGTTTGTATATGAAAATGAGAGAAAAGTGGGATGGAGAAAAGTGACTGAGACACATATAACAGGAATGTGTTTTGTATACATCCCACCTTATAAAGCTTGTACGCACTGTTATTTAAGGGCTGTACATACACGCAGTCCTTGACTTACAGTCTTTTGTTTAGTAATTACTAGTGACTTATGACTGTTTTTCCTACTTACGACCATTGCAGCTTCCCCCGTGGTCACATGATCGAAATTCAGATGCTTGGCAACTGGCCTGTATTGATGATGGTTGCCATGTCCTGGGGTCACATCATCATCTTTTGCCATTTTCTGACACGCAAAGTCAACGAGGAAGCCAGATTCACTTAATAACCTGTGTGACTGATTTAACAACTGCGGTGATTCACTTAACAATTGTGGCAAGCCAGGTTGTAAAATCGGGCAAAACTCACTTAACAACTGTTTTTGTTTTGCAACAGAAATTTGGGGCTCAGTGGTGGTTTAAGTCGAGGGCTACCTGTATAAAGCATTTGTGGACTAAATCTGCTCTGTGAACTCCCTGTCTATGTGAGATAATGCCTTTACAAGCATCTCAAGGGGAAAAAAAGAGTTACAATCTCACCCCACCCCAATGTGGCTTGCAGCCTGCATAATCTGTCCAGGATCCCCCTTGAGATTTATGCTGATTTTCTGCAGAAAGCAGCCTCCTGACCTGCTGGCTGATAGTCAGCTCCTGCCAGACAGAAAAGTTCCTTCCCTGCAATGATTCAGGAGTTAACTCCACAGACTGTAAGACCGTGAATCACAGCCAGGTTCTCCTGCTCTGCACCCAATCAACGCACGTAATTTTCCTGAAATGCTTGCAAAACCCAAGGTCATAAGATTTCAAGAGAAGAGTTTAGAAACACCAGAGTTTCTGTTCCTTCTTCTTGGACATACTGAACTTTGCCATCCAGTTTGTCGTGAACGGATTTTTTTTTCCTCCTCCCAGTTGTTTCCACATAGATTCTTGATAGGAAACTGTTGGTGAGAGGTGAGCTGGCCACATGATTTGCAAGAAAGACGGATATCGTTAAAGATATAAAATGAATTAGTGTGTGTGCGGGGAGAGAGGAATGAGCAAACTATTAGTTCTTAAAGCTTCTCTTATCTAAGAACCCAGGTTTCTTTCTTCGTAGGATACGGTTTATGTAAGAAATCTGGACATTATGGGTGAATTAAAACAATCATTCTATATTCTTGGCCTTGCATGAATCCCAGTTGCAGTTTTGCTGTCTTTTCAGCAAACCCTTTAACTTCTCCTTAGAAAACTTATTCCTTTTTAAAATAGGAATATAGGCTTCAAATTGGCCTTTTAGTTCCTTGTTCTTTGTACCCCACCTTTCAGTATTCCCCCCAAGCTGACCAATTATTAACATGAACAATCCTAAACAGCAACAAAAAGGTAAAGTTTTAAAAATAAGCCAAAGATGTGTCTAAAATCCTTCAGACAGTTCAGTTGGTGGCAAAGCATTGCAATGGTGCAGAGAACCCAGCTGATGGGTTCTCTGCATATGGAAACTGATTCCAAAACTTTGGAAAAAGTGCAGAGAACAGCAAGTCAGATCATTAAAGGCCTGGAGACTAAAACATATGGAACAGTTGAAGAATTTGGGTATAGCCAGTCTAGAGAAAAGAAGGACCAGGGATGACACAATAGCAGTATTCCAGTATTTGAGGGGCTGCCACAAAGAAGGGGGGAGGCAATTTATTTTCTAAAGCACGAGGGGGCAAAACAAGAAACGATGAATGGAAATGAATCAAGGAGAGAAGCAACCTGAAATTAAGGAGAAACTTCCTAATAGTGAGAACAATTAACCAGTGGAACAGCTTTGCCTTCAGAAGTTGCAGGGGCTTCATCACTGGAGGTTTTCAAGAAGAGACTGGACAGTCATTTGTCTGAAATGGTATGGGGTTTCCTGCTTGAGCAGGGGGTTGGACTAGAAGACCTCCAAGGTCCCTTCCAGCTCTATTTTATTCCAGTCTCTGGGCTGAATGGTGCCCCAATTCTTCCTTCTCTCTTCCAGGATGCTCCCTCCACCCCCAGGTTGATAATATGACTACTGGGGGGAAGGAGAAGGCAGTTTTCACTTCTTTGGATTGGTTGCATGAAATAAAAGATCTCTGGCTTGATCAAGTCGATTGCAGAATCAGATGCAATGGAGGGGGGGATTTATAATGGCAGAGGCAGCAAAGCTACTTCCCCCTTAGGACGTACGCCTAGTAAGCCTGACCAATAGGAAATGTGGGAGCTGGAATTCATAAGATCTGGAGGGTAGCAAGTCTGCTTCCTTCATTGATGGTGAACAAGTTCTCTGAATTGTCCCAACTCTGCTTCAATACAAAACCCAAAACAGAAACCCCTAAAGCTGTGTTTGCCTTCCAACACTGTTCCACGACCAGATTTCTTCCTTCCCAGAAGAGAAGAATTGGCAAAGTTCAAATATCCACTGTAATTAGGAAGGGGGATGATCCTGCATTGACTGTTTAAATGATTTTAAAAAGAATGCTGTTGTACTCAAGGTTAAGATGTGCAGCCCAGTAGCCTGGCTACATCATGGAGCCTGCTACCTTTTGAAAGCAAGACTCTGTTGGGGATGGCAGTGGAACTGAGCTCAGCACTATTGTGTGGACAAATAGAGACTGGGATAGAAATAAGGCAGAGAGAGGGAAAGGCTCAGCCCTGGACCAAGATTTCTGGTTCTCCACTATATGATAGTCACAGTTGTGAATTTTGTAGGTTTGGTAAATCTGGGACCACTTTTTAATTTTCGATTTAATTTGGGGCGCCTTCTGATCACCCCCACACTTTCAAAGCAAATCTGGGATTCCTATTTCCAAATAACATCTCCAGCACTGGACTGGCAAGAAAAGATATAAAAGAATCAGCTTAACCATTATTTTAGAAAGGCCAAATAGATTTCTCTATCTCTTGAGAGGGAAAGAACAAAATAATATTGAAATCCACAGATGAAATGTAAATTAAGGAAGAAAATATGCTGCATTTCAGATTAAGAACCCATCTTAAAAATTGTGCATAATTTCACAGATTCCCAATTTGTTGACTACTACAAGCAAAGTTAATTCTTTTGCTGTCCAAAGTTCCTTCTGGTATATGGGCAGACATATAAATGTGATAAATACAATTTTTTTTGTATATAGGTCAGAAGACACTAGGATTATAAATTGCAGTTTCTTAATGTGACATTATAAGAAGAGGAATTGCTGTGAGTGGATGGAATTAGTGATTGCCCCAACCAGCGCAGTCCTGTCAGGCAGAAATCCCTCCCTTGGAGAAAGCAGGTTCCCAATTACATGGAAGACAGCAACCTTGTCAACATATTCCAGTTGGAGCTTACTTTAATTGGACCTCCTTATAAGGCCCTAAGAAAATCTTTTGGATCATCTACCAAATCTTTTACCAGAGTGCCTACAAATATAAAGCAGATTCCTTCATGTGGCTGAATTTTGCAGCATCTGAATATCTTGTGTGTTTCCTATTTCTTGAAAGTCAGAAGTGAAGAAACCACAAGCAACAATAGGCTGTCTCTTTGGCTGAACAAACAAACAAACAAACAAACAAAAACCTGGGGAATTTGCACAGAGATACTAAGTGGGCCTTTGGATGTCCATCAGAGTTGGACATTGTTGGCTGGATGTTGGCTGTATGGTAGAGATAGAGAATGAGAGTTACCACCCAGCCCAAACTGAATGTAGTGTAGTTTTCAAACTGGACCTTTCAATGTAGAGAGGCTGTCCTTGCTACCATATTAACTCTTTGTGCAATCATTCTTAAAATCACATTCATGGATACACTATTTGGGAATTAATCTCATTGATTATCAGGACTTTTTACAAAGCTATGCACCTGTCTTCCTCTCCTAAGGTCATGTTGGATTAGAAAAGCTCAGAATGACTAATCTCTCTGTCTCCTCTCCTCTCCTCTCCTCTCCTCTCCTCTCCTCTCCTCTCCTCTCACTCTTTTTCTCTCTCCCTTCCCCAGGTTCACTCAGACATATTTGGGGGCATATTCTAAATGCTTGGGCAAGATTTCAAAAGCTTCCAAGTCACTGGAGGTGGAGGGCAGGGCCATACGAGATTATAATGGAAAGAACTGTGATTGCATCCAGCAAGAACCAGGTTGGGGAAAGTAGGTAGGTATTCACTTTTGCTTATATTTGAATATTTTCTTAGATTCAGAATTGATACAAGGTGAATCATTATGGGAAGCAAGGGGAATAAAAGGAATTTTACATGCATGTTACAGATATACTTTTCCTGCTATTTATAATATGAAGGCTCCATTGGTTCCTGTGGAATAAAAAGTGCAACTGAAAGGGGCAAATTATGGTTTTGCTGCTATGACCATTGACTTCTTGCTTTTCCATTACAGGAAATGGAAAGAAGGTGGAGAGACTCAAATAAAGAATGCCTAAGGACAGGATATATACTGACTTATATCAGATCTCACCATGATTTACCTTAGTATTTTATTCCCTTTATCATGCTTCATATATGGAATTATTTTGACAGTAAAAAGGGGTATTCCTATGTATGTTCAGAAACTATATCTCTCTTTTAGTTGAGTAGTCTCATCAAAAATTCAGACCATAGCTTAGCATCAGCTGTAAAAATCTGGATACCACTAGATGGCCACAAAGAATGTATATTTTCTGTACTTATCTTCTGCCATCTTGTTATTACCCAGATGTTTGCAGTCTAGATCTGCTGGGCCTGTTATGGTGTGAGTTCATGTTTGCCTCTTTTTAGAAGTCCATTATGTGATAAGCAGACATTTCTATGCACCAAGATTTACTGGAAGTTATGAACTAGGGACCAACCTTATCTGGAGCCCTAGTAGAGCTCCAGTGTTATATAACAATAAAAGCCAGTCTGATTGATTGAGTTTAAGATTGCATACCTCAGCAGTAAAAAGAGGAGGAAGGAAAAAATGTTTTACATTCCCACATTTGTGGTAGGAAGATGGCTATGTGTTTGTGTGTATGCTTTCTGTCTTGCTTTTGGTTAATTCAGAGACTATAGTGAGCACAACATCTCATATCCCAGAATTTACTTACTTACTTACTTACTTACTTACTTCTGTATATGTATGTACTGCATTTAACCTCCCTTTTTAGCTAATAAAGGCTCCCAAGTCATTTTACATAGTTAAGTAATAACCATACTTGCTGTCAAGGACATATTGGAATGCAACATCTCTCTGAGTGTTTTGTGGAAATGATTTGTCTTGTTCTTACTCATTTCTACCTTGGACTGTATTATTTTAAAGGGTTGTAGATTTTTATATTTGTATATATTGTTCAGTGTTATGTACCTGAATAAATAAAATTGCTAAATCAATGGTTCAAACAAAAGGAAGAGATAAGGATGGAACATGAAATAGGCTAACTCAGACTTGAACTACTTCCTATATCCCCATCCACCCATCTTTTCAAACAATTTGAACTTTTCAGCATAATGTTAATTCTTTTTTATTTTATTTTTTTGTATTGTCTTTGATCAGATTTTCATCTCATTTGCTGTTTTAGTGCGTTTGCGTCTGCTGCATTCTTCATTGTTTTTCCCATGAGCTACCAAGGCACTATCTTGTTCTAGATTGGCTAGCGAATCAATCAGTCAATCATGAATTTCAAACCAGAAATGCTCTGAAAATTTTTGGTGCTGTTTCTGACCGGTTTTATTCATGCAAGGTCTTTAACTTGTCCATCAAAAGAACACTGTCTATACCTTTTGCATGGCTGTTTAGATGGTATCTCATCCTATTTTCAGATTTGTCTATTCAATATCAGAAACACATTGGAGTCCTCTTTTTTAAGAAGCACAGAAGTTGTGTATTTTCATAAGAGCATGGAGAGCAGACACAAACAGATTATGTAGTAAAAGTCAGTATGCAATTGACAATCCCAAAACATATCTATATCAGCTGAAGTCTTCTGTTGATGTCTATGGATGTGTCTATATAGTTTCCCTGGTACCAGTATGGACCTAATTTGCCACTGTCACATTTTGGGATCCTTTTTGATTTCTACAGCCCTGATATTTCTTATGGTTATCCCATCTAGCTTACCCTTTTTTTCTGCCCTTTTAATGATCAACCAAGATCAACATCCAATTTCCATTCTGTCTTAACCTGCAATTGCAGATGATGTTTGCCACATTTACTTTTGGACTGGACCATGGTTTAGTGAGTCGACAAAATGTTCTGGCTTCATAAAGTGCCAAGAATCATAAACTAATCATAGAGATTGGTTTTGAAACTAAAATGTGGTGAGTGAGTTTGTGATTCGGGCCATTTTATGTATCCATGCCCATCCATCCACTGCGTAGCTTACCGTTTAAATTATCCTACAGAGTTGTAATAAAATAAGTTATGGAGACAGAGCATCTATACTGTTTGAAGCTTTTGGAAGGAACAATGAACAATGGAAAGTGAGGAATACATTGAAGAAAAACTTCACTTAAGAATTTTATCAACACCCCCCCCCCTTTGGTAAAGGCTTGTGAGCAGAATGGAAGGCCAAGAAGGCTATTGGGGTGCCTTTGAGGGGGCAGGTTGAAAACCACATAAGGCCAGATCAGGTTTCATATATCTGGGCTGCTAGCACTGCTGTTGTTGGCTGAAAAGATGTGGAGTCTGCCTTACCTGGGCTTTCTGCCCATGCTCTTTTAGGAAATTTGGACTCAAGAAAGTGAGAGAGACAAATCAAATGCGGAACTTCTTAAGTATCATCCAAGAAGGGTATTAGTGCTAATTGAAATTCACCTCCACGAGTAGAATGAATCATCAGAATATATAGAGTATATGCACGCACACACAGAGACACACAGAGAGTGGAAAACAAGGTTGTGCAACCTCACCCCAGTGTGTGTGTGTCACTGGGCCGGTGGAATTTTTAGAAAGGCAGCAGTTTGCGTTCATCACTGTGGTTCGTGATTGCACACACCTGTTCAAGCCCAAAGGTTTTGCAACAACAAAAAAATAAGGAAGCTGAACTTGTTTCTTTCTCCTGCATAGCACAGAAAAAAAGAAGCAAACCACAGCTGTTTGGGCTGTTAACAGATAGCAGCAGCCCCTCCTTTCCCACCAATCTCTCTCTCCCCCCCCCATTACATAATTGAGGATAACGTTTTCAAAGCATATGGGCCGGAGGTATTATCATCTCATTAAAACTTTAGGTAGGAAACAATCGAGCATATTCTCACACATTTCTGCTTGGGCCTCTATAACAAATGTTTGTAATTAGGGATGCTATAAACAGTTTATTAAATAATAAATGAAGAAAGGAGGAGGGAAAAAAAAGGCTTGATGAGCTATAGAAGGTAACAGATTTTATGTACGGTGACATACAAGCCCTGGGATGAGCTTTGAATGATTGCTTCTCATTTACTTGATATTAACTAGTCACTTTGGGCAGTTTAAGCTAGAGGCAGCCCAGGCTTCTATTAATGGGTGCGTCCTCTAAAAGAAGGAAGAGCTCAGGAGAGGGCATTAAAATAAAGGATTTATGACACGGAGCTTACTTTCCCTAAGTTCTGCAATTTGCTTTGGAATGCTCGTATTGCCTAATAGGATCATCACCATCTCTATCATCCAATATTGCAAGATGAATTTTGTCACCTGTTCATCTCACCTTGATTTGTGCCTTCATCTGCAGCCAGAAGGACAGGAAACACAGCAGGTGTGGTTTAGGAAAATGAAAAAGGAATTCTGCAAGCTCCCTGTAGGTCCATCTAATTCGTAATTATCACTGTAGGCTAACTGATAATGGCTTTCCAGCATACTTTGCCCAGCAGAACTTGGCAAAGCCCAGCATTGAACCTTCGACTTTTTGCATCTAAAGTATGCACTTAGCTAACTCCCTGCTCCAATTGTTCTTCATAATTATCACATGCAAAGCAGGCTGAATATTCTCCTTTTTGAGCTAATTCCCATTGCTGAATGATGGATGACCCAGGATCAGGCACCGTTACAAAAGTTAGCTAGGCTGCTTCCAACCTGGCCCTTAAGTAGAAATCCTTGGTCCAAATTCTTCAACCTGTGGACACATTTGGTCTGAAGCAACTTTTTTGACGTTTGCCAGAACGCCGACAACAAAATACTGGCACAATTTGAAAATGTTTATGTCCTTGAGTGGTTTGGCTGTTTTGTGAGTGTGAAGATAGCTGCCTGAACAGTGTTTTGGTTTGGTTTGGTTCTATTAGGCCCATTTTTATTGGCACATTTATCTGTAGCTCAGTGCTGAATCTTGTTTTCATTCCCAGGTCTAAGAATGAGAAAGTCTGTACCTTTAAGAGTGCACATTCTTCGCATGTGAGTAACTACCATGGCCTTCTATATGTTGAATTAAAAAATAGATTTTTCAGTTCAGTATCACTTCCAGGCAAATCTGATCACTGGAATTAATCGCTGCTTTGTATTCTACGTAATGATGAGAGAACAGCATTATCCTTTATTGAAATATAAGGTAAAATAAGATTTTCTATGTTTAATGTGGTTTTAGAAGAACATAAATATCCTTTTGCAACAACTTCCATCGTGTTCATCCAATGGAGCCAGTGAAGGTTTAATCCAAAAACTCTGTGGAAAAGGCTGGCATAGAGAGTCCCCAAACTAAACCATAGTGGCTTTTATCCAGTAGTTATTTTCAGGGTGGATTGCAACATGTGTGACTATTTTACTAATCACAAGAGGGACCAAATGATCCTTGAACTATGTAGTCCTCAGAGACTTGAGATGCAGGCTAGCCTCAGAAGACTAAACTATGTGCAGCGAACTTGCAGAGAGGTAGAGCCAATGGACCTTACTGTTTGGATCCTCCTACTCATAGTCATTATTGAAAGAAGAGCAGAAGGATTGCTCTGCTGAAATGGGAATTCCCGTCTTATGTTCACAGCAGAGCCTATACTCGATCTAAGCTGGTGAAAGTGAGGCATCAAGCACAGTATTTTTTCATTACCATTGAAAAATATATATAATATACGCAAAATGGTCCTAGAACAGATTTGAGGAACCTGTGGTCCCTCAGGAGTTGCTGAACAATGTGGAACATCTTTCAATATTAGACATGTAGCTGCTGAGAGATGGAATTGAGCAACAATTGGAGAGCCTCAGGTTCTCCACCCATTTCCTAAAAACCAGAGAGCTAATAACTCCTCCAACAAATCATGTTGCAAAGGTCTTGATTTCTTTGTGTAACAGAATGCCAGAAAAGCTGTTTTTTTGTAAATGAGCAAATAGATTTTCAATTATTTTGCATGACTCTAATCTAGAAATCTATTTAGATTTTAATTTTAGAACATCACACGATCTCTCACCTATCCTTTTATCCACCATCTAACTACCTATTAACAAACTCTAATAGAAGCCCTTGATTTTATCATAGCTTTTTTGCTTCCCAGATATTTGGCCCTAACTTTAATTGAAATTTTTCCACCAGCAGAAATGGTGATCAAGTA